ATTTTTGAATTCATATAACTAATTGCGGATAAATATAATCAAATAGAGAATAAACATCTTATTTTAAAATATAAAAAATAAAAAATATAATTAAGATAATTATCGAGTTCTAACAAAATAATTAATTATTGTCTTTATTAGAAAATTATATTATTAAACCAAATACAAATTTACTTCATTATTGTACCTAAATTAAATTATAATAAAAAAATTAAATTAAAAAAAAACACAAAAAATTAGGAATTTTAAATAGTTAATTTGATACGAATATCGATATATTTCTGTTATGCATAAAGTACTGTATATTGATGCATGTTACTTGAAATTCAAGATTACAAGTAATTATGCATAAGTACAACTTATTAAAGTTCGATGTTTAAATTCTTATAAATAATTGCGGATAAACATAATAAAATAGAGGATGAACATCTCATTTTAAAATCTAAAAATCTAAAATATAATTAGAATAATTATCGAGTTTCAACAAAATAAATAATTATTATCTTTATAAAAAAATTATATTATTAAACCAAATATAAATTACTTCGTTATTGTACATAAATTGAATTATAAAAAAATTGAACTAAAAAATTACACAAAAAAATGAGGAATTTCAAATAGTTAATTTGATACTAATATCGATATATTTTTGTCAAAATTTTATGATATCTTCAAGCATATATTTTATTCAAAAATAAAAACATCATCGTTTTCTCAAAATCACATAAAGCCATATTATAACATCGACTGAGATAAAAAATAAAATGAAATATTAAAATCATGATGTATCTCGCTGCATTGCGCGAGTACGCTTATAGTATCTTATTAATGGTGAAGTTGAGATAAAACAAAAAATGACTAAACATGGATGATATGTATTATTCTAAATATATTTTAGATTTTATATATATTTAAAATGAGACACCTATATTTACACGAATTTAAACATAGAGTTTTAATAAGTTGTATACACATACAATTTTTCTTGAATTTTAGATAATATGCATTAATAAACTATACTTAATAAATAAAAATGTTTTTTAAAAGTTTTTACTAAATAATTTATGATATACTATATATAAACGAACATTTTATCGTCCTTTAATTTGATATATTTTCATCTGTTCTTTTAATGATTTTAATTTTCTGTCCAAACTTTTCCTTAGCGCTTGAATTTTAAAAGAAAATAAAATAAAAGATACGGAAGAAATGAAAAAAATATTTTTTATTTGTATTATCGAGGCTGAAAGGAAAGAAAATGAATTTTTATATTTTTGGGTGGGAGAGAAATGAAAAAAAAAATGTTATTTTTATAAATGTAACATTATCTATTTTAAAATGGAATGTAATTGATGGGTATATGTATATTTTTTATATATTTTTATTACTTCGATTTCGGGCTATTTAACAATGATTTGATTTAAAATGATTAAATGGTCAGAATGATTAAAAAAACTTTCATGATATAGTACAAAATGAAATATAATTGTTTGGTAACTGTTTACAATGAAATTAGGGTGCTGAACGGTTAAGGGAGACTTATGATACAAAATCATTCAGAGAGTTTTAGAATCATTAAAAGGCTGACTTTTTTTTTTCTACCAAACAAGTCGTTTGTTTAACTTTTAATAATTTCATTAAGAGGCAACATCTGAATCGTTAAGAGGTGAATCTTGTTTGGCAAAAAAAAAATCAACCTCTTAATGATTCTAAAACCCTCTGAATTGAATTTGTATCATAGGCTTCCCTTAACCATTCAACATCATAATTTCATTGTAAACAACTACCAAACAATTATATTTCATTCTGCACTATATCATAAGAGTCTCTCAATCATTATAATCACTTAATCATTTTACACCAAATCATTCAACAACTGTCAAACAACCCTGACTCTTAATAAAACTACTAAAAACTCTCACATTAAAAAAAAAAAAAAAAACTTCGATTGAAAAATCAACACTTTTCGTATATAAAAATGAAATAAAAATAATAAATAATAAAAAGGAAGCCCATCCTCAAAAAAGCTCGTCTCAATCCTGTGGTTTTCAATTCTTGGTGCCGTACTCTTGAGTTGGTTCTTCGCGTCTTCCTCTCTCTCAATATCTCTCTCGCCTCTGTCGTACACAAACCATTTGCTACATCATTCGTTCAATCGATCACTGTAAGTTTTTTTGATTTCTTTCCTGCAACTGTTTGTGAATTTCTACAAACAAACCGTTTCCATTTTGATTTGGTACATTATAACAAAATTTTATGTGTGTATGTATGTGTCACTAAATGCGTCTATTTATGTCTACATGTTGTGCTTTTGACATGTTAGATTTATATTGCAAGATGGTGTTAGTTTCTTGGAAATGCAATGTAATTTCTTGGATTTGATCTGTAATGAGAGGGTTTAGTGCATCTTATTTTCGGGATATTTAGGGTTTTGTTAGCAAATGTATGTCCATGTGCTTGTGAAGAAGGAGAATCTTGTTGTGTTTTTTTGTCTTTTATGTTATCCTTTTGAAAGTTCGTTGGTGTTGATGTGTCTCCAGAGGAACCATGAGCAACGAAGAAGAGAAGAGGTGTCCATTGTGTGCAGAAGAGATGGATTGGACTGATCAACAATTAAAGCCCTGCAAATGTGGTTATGAGGTTTGGTTTTTAGTCTAAGAAATCTCATTTTCGTAAGTTGTTTCTTTTGGTGTTCTTTTGTGTTGTTTTATGTGGTTATCTTGCCTGCTCTTTTAAATACGGCTCATGCTATTTTGTTGAAATAATTAATATGCAATCTTGGATGGAAGCAATTAGGTTTACTGCGATACTGTTACTAAATTACGTTGGCAATCAGTTATGAGTTTTTCAAGAGTTCGTAAATACTCGTACACCTGGCTTTCATTCCACATTTAACGAAGTTCCATGTCTAGTCCCTTTTGGTTTGATTTCCGGCACTGGGACCGTCAAAAATTTATGCCCATTTTCCCTTTGAGATAGAATGAGGTCAGAACAGTGTGGTATCATTCTTTCCGTAACAAATGTATCACTAGTATTTAAGGCTTTTGAGACAACGAGTCACCTTGAGGCAGTGATGGCAAGTTCTTCAAGGTGGTTCGAAGAAACAATTTTCCTCGACAGCAACCTTCATGTTCATGTGAAAAAAACAATACCAATTTGGGCTAAGACAAGTCCCGACAAATTTTTATAGGATGGTGGTTAAATGCTACAAACTGCGGGACAGAATGATGGGGCACCAACATACATGCACAAAAGTGTGCAAGTAGAAATGCAAATACTGAGATTGATGCATGGCCGATCAGTCATACACTTATAGGATAAATACTAGCATATAAAGGTTGGGGGGGGGGGGCATATGTTGGGGAGAAGCTAAGGCAGTGCTGTTTGAGGTGGTTTGGTAATTTTCAACATAGACCCTTGAATTCATCAGTAAGAAGATGACACTTGTACAAAGAAGCGGATGTTCAGAGCAGTAGAGGTAGACCAAGATTGACATAGGGAACAAAACGAGTTGGCTTTTGATAGGAGTGTGTCGAGAGATGCAATTCTTGTTGTGGAAGGCTAGGAGGTTCAACTATGTGTGCTTGCTTTGGGTTGCACCATTTTATATTTTGTTCATGTTTCATTTCGACTTACTCCATTTAGTTTGAGATAAAATGTTATGTTGTGAAGATGGAGCCGGAGAACAAATGTATAAAATGAAGCTTCTAAAGTTACAAGATATGATCTATCTGAATCCAAAGTCTCAATTCCAACAAGTAGAAAAAGGGGGGAATTTCCTTATTTCGAAATGGTTTATTATGAGATATTTTCGATTTGTTTCTGATTTTTTATTGAATTGAGTTGTGTATATTTTGATACATATAAAAGATCCCCCAAAGAGTTTTATTTTATACTTGTTGCATATATGTCTGCTTTGACTCGAATGAACGTTCTGAAGAAACCTCAATTAAGTTATGTTATAGAAAAAGAGGATTCTTGCGTTTTTACTCTCCTGCTGAGAAAGCATTGATTTCTCAGTTCATTTCTTAAAATACTTCAACTGGTACACACAAAGAAATAGGCCAATTAAACAACTTTTTGTTCCATTTCCCGTGGAGTAAAATTCTGATGGAACAATGCCGCGTGGAGGTGGAAGACCCATGGGTCGTGAACTTTTAACCCATGCCATACTCCCAGGAAAAGCTCCAACGACCTTCAACAAAAGGGTACGTTGAAGAAACAACAAGATTTTTCTTTTCTCAAGTGATCGGAAAATAAAGAATAATACTTCAGTAAATTTCGCTTTATTTCAAATTTAGTTCATTTTTAGTTTGGATTCACCCAAATTTAGCAATCCAAGAAAATGAAGTTTTTGCGGGCAAATCTGTTCTATAATAGGCATTTTCAGTTTTCCTTATTTTATTGCAGTGTTAAGAAACTTCCCTCATTATATCCACCCTGTTCAGGTATATGAGATGTCAGTTTTTCTCGAACTGAACAAAAAATGCATTGGCTAAATAGAGATGCTAGATATTAGTTGTTACCAATGGTTTTGGTCTTTTTTTCTTTTTATATCAAGATCTATTGCAAGACAAAGAAGCATGTTTCATTGAAGTCATCATACTGAGACCTCTGTTTCTGGTGTTTCTATGTTTGACATTGCAATCTATTACATGATGCAAAATCAACTATGTGGTTAAGACTTAAGAGTTTCTCAACAGGATAAAACATTTATTTTCATGTTTCATCTTAGTATACATAGTAGAAGACTGTGTACTGTACTGTTAATAAAAGACAACACTGGCATAAGATCAAATTCTTTTCACCCTTGTGCCTCACCCCTGAGGCATGGATGTCCATGAAGGCTCGTTAAGAATATTGTTTGATGATGGTTCTTGCATATATAGAGGCCAAGTAAATTAAAGAGAATGCTAAGTGAAAAACCACCTACTGTTTTTAATTTATTAGGATACTTTGTCATTGCAGGTGTGTGTTTGGTGTTGGCATCACATAATGGACATGGCAGAGAAAGATGCAACAGAAGGACGGTGTCCTGCATGTCGCACACCTTATGATAAAGATAGAATTGTAGGGTTGGAAGCAAATTTTCAGAGGTTGAAATACTTTTTGCAATGTTGTTATTTTTTACGTTGCCACGTTTTATACTGAGACTCATAGATCCGGTTTTGTTATAGGGTGGCTGCCAATTGTTCTAGTCGAAAACAAAAGCAGCCAAAAGCAAAACAAAAACCAAATGAAGGAAGGAAGGACCTTAGCAATGTTCGAGTGATTCAGCGAGAAATGGCGTATATCATTGGGTTACCTCTTAGTCTAGCTGATGAAGATGTGCGTGCCTGTTAGCTCTTTCGTTCTCTTTTTTCTTCATATTCTCTTTGTGTCGTTTTCCAATTTTACTTGTGGGATCAGCCAATACCTTTTGAGCAGGATTATTCTTGTTTCATAGGTCTGCAGTAGTCCTCCTCTCAAGAAAAAATTATCTGTACATTGTTGTTATTAAGTTATTTTTGTCTTGTGCAGTTATTGCAGCAAAAAGATTATTTTGGCCAATATGGGAAGGTTACCAAGGTTTCCCTTTCTCGGACGGCGGGTGGGACTGTTCAACAGTTTGTCAATGATACTTGTAGTGTGTAAGTTTCACATCTTTAAACTTAAATCAGAGTTGTTTCTGAATTGGTTGTTCTCTCGGAAAATGGAGCCTCGATGCCAAATTATGCTGTGAAAACCTCTATGTTTGTTGACAAAAGCCTATTATGTTGAGGACCAAGAAAGAGGGGTTGAGATTAAGCCTTATTAAATCTATTATTGGCTTCTCTCATTTTTCTATAATCACATGCAATTCCTATTGATTTCCTTTCAGTTCACTAATCTGAAATCTTTCTTCTTTGCTTTCTGGAACAATGTTGTTGATTGTGTTACTTTTTGGTTTATCTTTCTATTTCGTTGCTCGAGTGCTCCATCTAGGTTCATTGGCATAACTTGGATGTGCGGCTACTTATGTGTAATATCCAAATCTATTTTTGTGTGAAACGTTTGTTTGCATGGAAACTATCATTTATTTTTGGATGGAAACTAATGTTACTTTGGTGCATATTTCTTCCTGTTATCGGCTTTTTAAGAATTGCAATTCTGATTTTTTTTTCTTGGTTGTCTATGTTCCCAGCCTCTTAGTCCCATATCTTGCTGCTGAGGCAATGTTTCTGCACCTGCCCATGAACACAAACTTTGCACGCCTAAAATCTTTTTTGCATCCTTCAAGACTTGTTATGGATCCTTAATTTTGGTTTTTTTTTCTTTTGTGATTTCTGATTTTATTCTATGTTAAGTTACTTACTTGTTCATGTTTGCGCTACAAAATCTCTTTTACAGTATTATAATGACCTAGTCATTAATGGAGGTTGTATAGCCTTCTGGTTTGTTCTTTGCTTAAGGACATCATTGCCTTAGTTGATGATTTCTTTAGTGCTTTCTATATGCTAACTAGCATCTTGATAGATCGAGCCCAATGGGCTTTATCTTGCATAATTCGGATGTTTTTTCATATATTGTCTAGCGTCTGATTATGAATTTTCCCATTCTGTACTCCCAGATATATTACGTACTCGAAAGAGGAAGAGGCAGTGCAATGTATTCAATCTGTGCATGGCTATGTGCTGGATGGTAGGTTGTTAAGGCAAGTACATAACTTTTTATTCCTCTCACTTGTATTTCTGGGCTGTTGTCTTGCCATTGTATATATTGATTGCCATTTAAAATTCATATTTTGCAGAGCATCATTTGGAACAGCAAAGTACTGTCATGCATGGTTAAGGAACATGGTATGCATGAGATGCTCAATGATGGTGCATCAAAAATCCAATTTTATGTAAATCATTGGGAAAGCTAATATTTTATTCTGTTTTTTTTTTGTCAGCCCTGCAACAATATTGGTTGTTTATATTTGCATAGTATTGGTGCTGAAGTAGATAGTTTTGGCAAAGATGAAATAGCTGCAGTTCATACTAGGTATTACAAGCAAAAGTTTGATTTCCTCTGTTGTCTCATTATAGTTTATACAGGCTGTGTGTTTACATTTGATTAACATCTGAGATTGAAGTTCCATCTATTGTCAGTTCAAAAAAAAAAACCTCTTAACTGGCAGGAAAGTGCGTTGACATCAATATATTTTACTTGGTACCTAAGATTTCCCTGAGAGTATGCCTCAAATGTCTTTAGTAAAATCAACATTATCTTTGAGATGTCATTTGTTGTAGGTCCTCCCTAGTCTTGGTTCTTTCTCTTTTCTCTATTTGTTTAATTGTTTGTAATTAGTAAACATGTGAGCTTCATACTACAGTTTTTTGTTATTCATTATTGATTTTTACTAATTAAATTAAATGGACCGCAATGGTTCCCAATATATGTAAAAATGGGATTTCCTTCTCACCTTGGCTCCTATATATTGATTATCACCCATGCTATATTTGCTTGTTTTTAATCATCCTTGGGGCTGACTGATTCTCTCGTGCCTAACATTTTGTTTCAGGAATAGAGTTCAGGAAATTGTTGGTGCCACCCAATATTTGCATAAACGGGCAGGAAGTATGTTGCCACCACCGGTAGATGAACACTTGATTAACTGCAGTGCTTCGGCCGAGGAACCTTATTTTAGCAGTGGTCTGAAAGTAAGATATTTTCTGTTAATTCCTTCAGACTGGCAAAGTCAGTTGTCCATTTATAGAGAAAGAGGGACATATGTTCTTTGGGATGCTGTAATCAAGTTTCTCCTGTGATTTAAAATGTCCAAATACCTAATTTATTGGTTTGAATTTCCTATAAAGATCATAATTATTTGCTTTGATGTCATTGTTCAGGATGTAGCTTATGCTGCAGTAGCTTCTGGGGATCACTTGCCCTGTTCAAAGGACAAGGATGGGATAGTTAGATCATCCAAACATATGACATCTTTTGTAGATATTGTTGGAAGGTCGTGTAATTCAGGTTCAGATAAAGATACGAACTCGATTGCAGAAGGGCGGATGCTAAACCTATGTTCTGATATGTCTTCTGTGTGCATAGATAGAAGTAATCATGACAAGGCTGAAAGTTCAGATTTAGTATCGTCAAAATCATCAACTTCTGGGCATTTCGTTAATGGATTGTCCGGTAGCAAATTATATAGTGAGCCTTTTAGGGAAGCTTCTAAACTACATTCAGTAGAACGAGCTGATCTAACACTTAAGGACACTAACATTAGAAAAGTACAATCTGGTTTGGCATTAGATTCTGGAAGAGAAGTACGGCTTAATCCATGTAATCCTATGAGAGAAGATTCACAAACTTCTGGTGACCAGAGATGGATAGATTCTGTAGCTTTAAGTCAGAAGGCTTCCTTAAATCCTTCTTATCCTGCTGACGTGATTAAGAACTATAGTGGTCATGCTTGGTGGCATATGGAGTCTAGTAGTCAAAATGTCGACGGTGCAGATTGCAATAATGTAAATAATGATGCAGATGAAGCCTCTAAACTGTCTACATGTACAAATTCTGTAGTGAATGATGGATACAACGAGAAGAGATTTCAAAGTTTGGCTAAATCAGATAGGATATATAGATGCTCCAAATCATTTTCCAATGAAGAAATAGTAGAGCACCTCAGACGGCTTGATGATGATACTCTTGTGAATGATGACGAAAATTCTGCTAATGTTGAAAGCAGTATAATATCCAATATATTATCTATGGATTTTGATGGGTGTGATGATTCGGTCTTGCCTCGAACTGTAGCTGGATTGTTTGAAGGGAAAGATGGGCGGCATGGCTCTTCCTGGAACTTCCAAAATAGTGATCAATCTAGATTTTCATTTGCAAATGACCAGGGATATACTAATCAAGAGTTGGAGAAATTTTCTACTTTTCAAGATTCTGGGGAGAACCAGGACAGTATCTATTATCCCCAACATCATGGTATGTCTATCACACTCATATATACATACTACATACATCGATGCACATCTTTATCCACAAGTTAAGCTTCTTGGTTTTTCAAAGGGCGTTTTCTTGTTCTCTTTCTATGTTATGGTTGTGGAGCTTGATGCATGCTTCTGCTTGTTCTTCTCGTTGGTAAATAATTTGCTAGTACTGGCGATTTTTAACTATGCTGGACCATTGATATCTGGGTTAACAAGTCACTCTTCTCGGTTTCCAGTTATTATCACTCTTTTGGATCATTAGCTTTGTGACTGAATAAAAATTATTCAGTGTTCTTTTTGTGCAACGATATGAGATAAAATGTGTTATAAGAATAAACAAGTTCTGCATCATCTATGTATGGGGTTCTATGATTGCAATTTCATCTGGTGTAAATATGAATATTCATGTTATTTCTTTATTGTTTACTTATTAAATTACTACTTTTTGAATGAAAGCATCCAGTGCTCATAACTTGATACCGCCAGGATTCTCCAAACCCCCTCCAGGGTTTCCCTTGTGCATGAGAACCGAGAAGGTTGTTTCTGCCAGTTCTGGTAGGTGATCTCTCTGCCCGTTCTCTATATGCATACATTTGTTATTCTTTATTTTATGTTCTAGTTCTACATGTGTTGTGAAATTGCAACATTAAAGAAAGTGTTCGACTTTGTCAAATGTCTAAAATACTATTCAATAATTATAAAACAAAGGTGACACAGGGCAACCCACTGTTTGCCAGGTTATGTTGCAGCACACGCTGCAACACAGAAACTCTAGAGGTTTGAAAACTCGTTAAGGATTGAAATGTAGTGGAAAAGGTGTCTAATGTAAGAATGCATTCTAACTAACTGAGATGGGGTTGGAGGGTCGTTGAGGGTTAACTGCCACCTAAGGGTTCACCTAGGATAAGGTTGACATGGCACACAAAAGGTCGTCACCTTTTGTGACGAGTGAGAACGAAGTTGAGCATACTCAAATTCAGAATTTTTATTCAATAGTTTTAAAGTCAAAACAACCCCTCACATTAAAAGGAAATAAAATCGAAAGATCATAGCAACTTAAGAAACTAAATAAAATATAATCTTCTAAGAAAAGGAAATAATGGTTAGGGAAAGATTTAATCTTGATCAGCACCTCTTCATGGGACAAATAAGTAATGTAAGTTGAAAACCTTAAAAACATCGAAAATTGATGTAATTTTCATGGGACATTCCAGAATGGAATTGATATTTACATGGCTGTTGGAAATGCAAAAGGGTAGTTTTTAGGACTTGTTAGTTGTTAATGGCAAGGCAACCTTTTGTTTTTTTCCAACCATATTCATTCGTCTAAGCTTACTATGGTGGGTGTACGATCTGACACTTGCTGCATTATTATTATTATTATCCTTCCCTTTTGCTTTGAACTAATAGATCTCCTTGCTATCATTATTTCAGGGAATTATGGGAAGAAATCTTTGCCAAACAATCATTATCGTACACCATCAATAGGGAATCTAAGCAATGGTAGCGATGATCTTATCGATCCTGCCATAATGGTTGTTGAACGAGGCAAATCATCGTCTTTTAACATGAGGTCCAGCTCCTTTGATGAAGAGACAAAACTCTGGCGCTTGATGCAACAACAGCAATCTGTGTCTGCCACACAACATTATCATGAGCATCCTCAACTTTCTCGAACTCCCTCCATCATGCAACAACAGCAGCCGCCCCAGATTCCTTCTTCGTGGGATGATCATTATGGTGATCTCTCTTCCAGGCATCAACACCACCAGAGTTACAGCCAGCGTCAGTACTCACAGCCGAATGGGTATCAGCAGGCTGAACAAGTTAACAGTAGAAGTGAAGTGGGCTTGGCAGAACAAATCCAGAGGAATGAGAGATTAGGGTTGGACAAATTGTTGCCTGGGTACAGTGATTATTTGTTCCAGATGCCCAGTTCTGGCGATGTACACCCGTGTATTTGGAATGTAAATTACTCACCCTCCTAACTTCTCTGGTTTGGTTTTGATGAAATGAAATGAACACTCCATCCATCTGTTTGTGTATGTGAAGATAGAGAAAGATGACCTCTTGGGCGTTTCGTCATTTGACATGGTTGTGGTGGTGGTTTGAGTTAATTTTTTCAAGTTTTTTATGTGTTTGATTTTGGAGCCACATCATTATCTACCTTTCAGGTGCCTAGAGAATGATGTTGCTCCTCTTCAATCGTTGGAAGGATATCGTTGATTTGGTTAAGGTAAATTTTACACCATGATCGTACATGGTAAAATGTTCTTTTTTACAAACATGCTGATAAAACTTGAAATGAACCTGGATTACTTCATGATTCATGCTACCTTATTTTTTAAAGAATGACACTGTTGACTCTATTTGGTGGATAACTACTATTGTTTTCTGATCAATGAAGAACTGATAGAAACTAATTGAAGCTGAAGTTGGTGGGGAATTCATACGAGTGATTTGTTTCAGAACATACAGTTACATGTATCTCTTATGAATTGAATGGCAACAGTGAGGTCGGTAGGAAGAAGTTTACAAGAATTTGCAGTCACAGGTAACCATGAAATAGAGAAGTAAAGGTCTATTCAACAAATTTTAAACGGTTTAATATTGGGAAGAAGTAGCAGCAGGAGGCATTGGATTGAAGGAAGTAATCTTGTTCTTCTTCTTCTGCTGCTGCTGCTGCTGCATGTTTTTAGTGGATAAGAAAAGCGGGTCTGTGAAGTTGGTAAAAGAAGAGAATCCTGATGATGCTGCGGTAGAGGCAACGGGGAAAGGCACAACCACATGATGGCTAGTCGCCATTTGCATTTGCATTTGCCATGCTGCGTCTGCCGAAGGAACAACGCCTGCAGATCCCTTTCCTCTCCCCATATCCTGTTGATAAATATCATCATAAATTTAGCATATGGAAACCTACCCATCTCATCTCTTTTTTAACTTCAAATAATATCCTTAATTTCAATCCAATACATGGAGCTTACGACAAAACAAGTAGTTCATGCAATTCGCTATACTAACCTCGTTGCAAAGGGAATTAGACATAATCTAATGAAAGGTCAATAAAGGAAACTGGTGTTCATTATTATACAAATTGCAACAATTTTTGTTTTGAAATGTTACATGAAATTCCCAACATAAAACTACTAATTTATTCATGGTCCTAACTGTTTTGGGTTCTCAATATTACTTTGTAATTATTAATGGAGATTTAAGATCATAAAATAGTTTAGTTAAAAAGTTAATTGAAGCAATGCAGAACTTGCGGTGAATAATTACCTCATAATTTGGTGGATGACCGGAATACATGCTAGGCCATGCGGGATAGTGGTGCGGTACGGCTGTGTGGGATCGTCCACCAATAGAAGTTGGAGCAAGACCCCCAACCTGAAAATGCAAAGCCATCAGTTAGTTACCAGTAAAATTATGTGTATGCTCGCACACACCTTTTCCTACATGAATCGCCAGAAATATGAATATGTCTGAAGTTGTATCCTCCCTTCAGCTAGAATGGAGAAGCATTAAAAAAGGTATCAACTATTGGATACAAAACCTAGTCCCACAAAGTAGTAGCAAAAACTGCACCTCTTTGAACTCTATAAATACTAATAATCTATTCGGTTTCACCAAAATTCAACATTCTTATTTATGGTAGACAATGTGATTGTGGTCTCATTTAACTGAGAATTAAGATAGGACCAATAAAATGGAGAGTAGAGAACAGAGGTGACATTTCACACACCTTTTGTCTTTTCCCAGAAGACAATTCACAAGCTGTAAAACCCACATCCACGTTCTGAACCTTGTGATTCCGCTCGGGGCCCGCTGTAGTGGGAGAAACCCCTAGGTTGAGATCAAGATTGTGACCATTTGCTGCATATGAACACATCAACAAATAGATACTTGCATCAATTTGGAAAAATAATATACGTAGGAAGGGAAACCACTGAGCTGTAAGCAATCAATAGTACCTTCATCCCTTTCTTCCAAATTTATATCTGTGCTATAAGTGCTTGGCTCAAAGTTGGTGACGGCTTCCCTTCCATTACATTTAATGGCAGCTTTGTCATAAGCCCTGGATTCAGAAAAGAAGGCAGATTTTGTAGGACGATTTACACTAGAAACCAATGTGTAATGCATTCAGTTATAAGGACTAGTGTAATCATAAAAATTACAAGAACCTTGCAGCTTCTACTTCATTGTCGAATAATCCAAGGTAAACATACCTGCAACCAAGCATCGTAATCTTATTGATAAAAAGGGTCCCCTAAACATAGTTACCATGAAATTTTATCTTGAGAATCTAAACTATGAGATTACACTAGCAATTTTACGGTATTTATTGCATCTGCAGAATGTTGCATGGAAATCACATAACATACTCTTAGCAATGGTTCCTTACTTTTTCCCAAGTAGCTGACCCATGCGAGCCTCCCATCTACCACATTTGTGAAGGGTTACTCCTCGGTATCTTGAACTTCCTCTTGAGAATCCATTGCTCTGCCGACGCAGTATATGAATGAATTCTTCTTTTGACAAGTTCTTCACCTGTTACACCCATTTAGATAAGTTAAACCAACCGACGATGATGGACCTTACAAGTACTACCACCAGAACCCATCTATCTGTATTGTATCCACCTGGGTCATATCTTCCTCGTAGTCGCTTATATCGAAATTGATATCGGCATCATTTCCCCGGAACTTGATTGCAGCCCGATCATAGGCTCTGGATTTTAATTTCCAAATGAAGTCAAAACCAGGAAAACAAAAACGTAGAGCAAAACCACGAAATTTGATTAGATGCTCACCTAGCTGCAGCATGGGAAGTGTCAAATCCACCTGTATCAGACACACATGAATTAATACATCAAATTGAAACTATTTTGTAAGTTCCAACATTATTAGGGAATCTAGCATGATGCTTACCTAAATATAGTTGTTTTCCACGATCCCTGAAAAGATGAAATGCGATTATTTAAGATTCTCAAATCATCAAACGAGACAAGAAGCTTGAAGCATTCGAATCATCGCCAATCTACAAGTTATAGTGAACCCCTACAACTTACTAACTAATATTCCGATTCCAGTTAGAAAACAAATTCGGAGGGATAGCACATGGAGTTCTTGGAGACAGAATTAAGCATTATGTGCATTGACATAGTGTACTGTACAAGCTAGTGATGCACATCGAGCAAAGTTTTAAGTAAGCAGTTTGGTAACTCCATCATTAACCAGTAGGAAATCTTTTTGAAACATTAAAAACTTCCAAAATTAGACGGAGGATATGTAGACCAATGATAGGCAAAACTTGAATTGCTATAAGTTACAAACAGGCTAAAAAAAGAACAGAAGAACAATAACATACCAAATATGCGATTCCCATCGACCAGTCCGACGATAAAACGTTACTCCACGGTACTGTGAACTCTTGGACGGCGGTCCCCTCCGGCTTTTCCTTGCTTTCTGTGGCGGCAGCGGTTGCATGTTCTGTGGCATCGGCGCAGCTTCCGGAACCTTGAGATTTAACCAGTCCAGCCCAAGCACCGATGTCGCCGACGGTGATGCTTTTATCAATGGAGAACCTAACTCCTCCTCCAACTCCAAATAACTAACAACAGGAAAAAATTGCCTCGTAATCAAACCGACAGAAACTCGATTTGAATTTTCCCTCGATTCTCCTGTTTGACTAAAGATATCATTACGAAAAGACCTCTTATCAAAAGCACTGTATGATACAGAGTCTTCATCATCAACGACATCGTCGGTGACGAGAGGATTATCCTCGTCGGTGTTGAGTACGTCAGAGGAAACTGAAGTACCGGAATGAATCTCCGATTGACGATCTTCATGAACATTCTTATTGACAGCGATACAACCATTAGTATCAAAACTACTTCGATCGCAATTCTTATTTATAACAACAACATCAACATTAAGATCCAACATCTTCAATCCTTGTCGCAGAAAACACAAACTCGAGCTATCTGATCACACAATCAACAAACATCATGGATCATTTCACTCTACCCTGTACCGGATTTCACTTTCCGATCGAATCAAGAATCACAGACAGTGAAAGCTACATAGTGTGTGTGAGAGAGAAAAACGGAGGGAAACCGGAACGATCGCTACAGAGACACCGGAGATGATGAAATATAACAAACTTCTCCCCAGATAGCTTTCACACACAAACACACTTTTAGTGCGTGCGTGTGTAACGGACAGGGGAGATCGCACAGAGAGAGAGAGAGAGAGGGGATGATAATCTTATTATTGTGGGAATATATAAAACGATATCGTTTGTCAGGTTGCAGGGATTTTGGGATTTTTGGCGATGATGGAGAGGAGTTGGGGATGGAAGCCGGAAGGACAAAAAAAAACGTGATTTGTATTTTATTTATCTCTGCTTATTTCCACAAAATATAATGGCCTTTTAATCACTAATTTATTTTAATAATTTATTTTTCTAAATTTATAAATATATCAGTTCTATTATTGTGTTTAATTTATTAATTTATTTACCATGTTTAATATATTTTTATTCACAAGTCATTTTAAATATCTCACTTGTATTATTGTATTTAATTTTAATTTATTTTTGGCCATGCTTAATATTATTTTATGTTTGTATTTTAAATTATCATTCTATATGATTAAATTCATTAAAATTTAATAAATATTTTATGTAGTATGAATATTTCAACAATTTAAATATTAATTATAAAAATATAATTCATTTACTTTTGAATACACAATTAAACAAATTTTTTTATTAACTTGAGCCGACTAATCCTAGAATGACTACCTGTTTTGCAGATACCTCGGAGTCATCGCATTTGAACATACGTTGCCACAAGGAGATTTTTGTTCCTCCTTGAATTTGAACCTGAGACCTTCTGGTACTTGTGACATTTGGAGTCAAGCTCAAACCAATTAGGCACCACCATTGTGGTTAATTAAACTAAATTTAAAAACCACAATTATGAGAAATTAATTATATTATTTAAGGTCAATCATTTAAATTAATAAATTAAAATCGAAAATTAAAATATGTTAACTAGCAAATAAATTTTAAAAAAACATTATTGCATGTGAATTTAAAAAAAATAATCAACTAGTAAATGCGATAACTTGTGTTAACTAAAAACAATACCATGATTAAAAAGATTAATGACATCATATATATATATATATATATATATATATATATATATATACATATGTTGGTTATAATACAATCATTTACATTTGTACAACCAATACAACTCAATCTCAATCGTCCATTTAATTTGATGAATATGTTATTTCATAAAAGGTTTGATTGTTTTCTAATATAAAATATTGATCATAATTAATTAACCTTATTCATTTTTCATAAATATCCAAATCATAATAAATGAACTCTCATCATTTCTATAAAAATTCCAATTAATTGGGTTGCATTGGTTGTACAAATGGACTTGGTTGTATTTGAAATATACCCTATATATATATATAGAGAGAGAGAGAGAGAGAGAGTTTGGTTCAAATATAATCTATTGCATTTGTACAACCAATGTAACCCAATATATTGAGATATTTTATGGAAATGATGAGAGTTTATTTATTATGATTTGAATATTCATGAAAGATGAATATGATTAATTAATTATGATCGATACTTTATATAAGAAAACAATAAAAACTTCTATGAAATCACATATTAATCAAATGAAATGGACGGTTGAGATTGGGTTGTATTGGTTGAACAAATGTAAATGATTGTATAATAACCAACCTCTATCTCTCTCTCTCTCTATATATATATATATATATATATATATATTTCAAATGCAACCATATTCATTTGTACAACCAATACAACCCAATTAATTGAGATATTTATAAAAATGATGAAAGTTCATTTATTATGATTTGAATATTTATAGAAGATGACTAAAGTTCATTAATTATGATCAATACTTTATATTAAGAAAATAATCAAAACTTTTATGAAATTATATATTAATCAAATTAAATGGAGAGTTGAGATTGAGTTGTATTGGTTGTACAAATGTAAAGCATTGTATAATAACTCTCTCTCTCACACACACATATATATAAAAGAGTAATTACCAAGATTTAAAAAATTAGTTCCATCATAAATACATGATTTCTTGTATTAAAACACATGTATAAAAAGTCATGAATGAAAGTTTGGTATACATTTAAAAGGTCTTCCAAGTGGGGTTCCTGTTGACCAATCAAATTTTTCTAAATTTTAAAATTAAATAATACATTAAATATATTTCTACATTTTAAAATTAAATAATCTAAGAAATCGTAAACTATTTGATAAGAGCCGATGTTGGGTACCGACCCTTTTATTTGGTTAGACCCTCTTAATGGTTCACAATCAAATACAAGTTTACCTAAACCTATAATCACATGTTCAGTAAATAATTTACATATATTAATCAAGAACTTGACAACTATATCAAATCTGTAGTATACAAAAGATATTGAGTTGGGTTAGATTCAAATTACCCAACTCAATAGATGCGGTTTGGTCTAGTTTTGTATCAACTATGTGTCGGGTTATATCGTGTTGAGATTTTTTAAGTTTTTTCGAGTTCGGTTGACGGGTTGGTCGGTATTTTGAGCACCCATATTCTAGTTTATTTCAATATATTGATGGACTTTTTTCCAGTTTAATAAAGATAATTGATAATTATGTATAATATAATTGATGATAACACATGGTAATTTTTTCACGTTTTCTGGAAGGAGGGATGACGGATAACAATACTGTTTTTTTCATTTACAATGGTTTGTGTTCGTTTTACATTTTAACGAACGAACGCAATAAGTTTATTTTCTTAACGAATCAACACAAATTGAGAATTTTGTTCATTTATGTGTTTATGTTTATTTGTTCGTTTATTTAGTTAATATTAAGCAAGGCAATCGCACGGTAAACGTTGGGTAGCCAAGTGTAAAGCGGATAACTACTGAAAGCATCCTCTAGCTACTAAGATGTTTTAGTTCGTTAGATTATCTCTTGCCTGTCCACAGATAAAATATAAAAAAAACAGATGTAATTTATTTTACATTCTAAAAGATAATAATAATAATTGGTTAAAAAGTAAAAAAGCATGAAAAGAGATATTTGGAAGGTAGAATATGTCCCTCACCATAAATGGAAAGAATCCAAGGTTTTATTTAAAAATGTGGAAATGATTTTATGATCCATGGCCCACCGAGTGGGTGAAGAGATAGCCTTTTAAATGCTCATTTCTATGATTTTTGCATTTGACTTTATTATTACTCTTCAATTATATTTTTTGATTTATTCATAATTTTATATATAATTTTTCAAATATGAATATGTTGATTTTTTAGGTCATATTGCAATCAATAACAGCATTAATTCTTTGTTCTATTATTATGTCTATCGGGGAAAAAATCTAAAAAAAAACTTAATGTATTTTAGTGTTTAGAATGATTAAGTTCTTAGACAATTTTTAGAAACAAATAAGTCTTTTGACATTCAAAAAACCTGTTAAATAAATTCTTGGATTTTTTAGAACATGTTAGATACATCCTTATAACCTATAAAACTGATTAATGTGATAAAATAAAGGGGAAACATGGAAAAAAAAGTCAATGAACTTTCATATTTTCAGCGATTAAGTCTCTAAACATTTTTTGAACCAAAAAAATAATTACATATATAAAATGAAACAAATATACCAAAAAAGTACCTACATTTAAAAAAAATATGGATGAAATATATTTTGATTAAAAATAAAAAATATTTTGTCAGTGATTTTCCAAATTAAAAAACAAAAAAAAAAGATTTTAAAAAGTATTACAGATTATATTTTTTTAATTAAAAATAAAAATATTCCGTATATGATATCTCAAATTAAAAAAGATTATTGATCAAATTTATTTTACTTAAAACTAAAATATAT